ATGATGCAACACTCAAACTCTTGTCTCTTAATTAACTGCCTTGAGGTTGATGTGGTGCAGTTAGACTTTGAAGAGATCAACATCAGCTTTGGGTGGTCTTAAAGGAGGATTCCAGAAGCGTGTTGACATCTGTTCCTCCTCTATGTGCCCAAATATCCGAGCCCAGTTATCGGTGTGTGCATCAAGGGAGCCACTTTGTTTAGGACGAACAAAAGGAGGTTATGCAAACACAAGTGTGGTTGGAGCAGGAATGGCAAGACGTTCATTTGTTGTGGGATCCCTCTCGTTTTGGTGGCGTTGAATCAATTCACGTGCCTGCGGAGGACCTCTGGAGACCTGACATTGTGCTTTACAACAAGTAAGCTTGTATTACTGCATTAAACGCTGACTTGTCTCCTCTTCTGCTCATCACCCGAGGTCAAGATTTGTTTACTCAACCAAATTTAGAAGCCGATTTAGTGTAAACCACATTTATTTTTCGCGTTTGAAGTGCACAAAACCATACCCTTGCATTGCCCTATTTTGGCTATGCTTTAAGCACATTTTAACGAATGAGTCAGCCTTAGGTCTAATTTTCAGCGTTGATGGCAAGTATGAAATTACAACGCTAATACGGGCGGAGGTCTTCTTCAATGGGACGGTGCGATGGATGCCACCTGCACTCTACCTGAGTGCCTGCCGCATCGATATGGAGTACTTTCCCTACGACGAACAGACCTGCTCCATGCGATTCGGCTCGTGGACTTACGACGGCAGTAAAGGCAGGTTTCTACACACTGCTTTCTTCGCACAAAATCTGATTCTGATTCGACTCTTCTCACCGAATGCCAACTTCAATTTTCATGCCATGGGGGTTTGAAATGGTAGTAAACTACACTTTATTATTTAAAAAAATATTACTTATATGTTTAATTTGGGAGCTTGATTCGAGAGCAAGTGAACACCCTAAATCCTGGGGTCATGGATAACTTCGCTTGTGCTGCCACCTACTCTCCATCCTGATGTGTCAACGACGAGCTAAAGCTCGACGTAAGATTCTGCCCGTAGTGTCGGTACGGATTCAAATTTTTCATAAGCAAGCTACCAAAGTGGAACACCTCGATTTGATTCTGTGATGTGTCGATTATTGCATTCTCTATCCACCACCGAACAGTTGACCTTCGTCATCATCTGCAAAAGTACGCCCCAGAGCTCTCACGACCCCTCCACATAGACTATGCGGCTGATCTACACAACTTCGGTAGCACCATCGAGTACGACGTGATCTCGGTTTCCGCTGTGTGCTATGACCGAGTGTACCAGCATTCGCCTCACCCCTACCCTGAGGTTGTATTCCATTTCCGCATGCGTCGTCGCACGGCTTTCCACACATTTAATCTCCTCCTACCCTGCGTGGCCATCACGGTGCTCGCCGTGATGACTTTTATGTTGCCACCGGAGTGCCGAGAGAAGATCTCTCTCTCTATCACTACCCTTCTGGCACTTACCCTCTTCTTTCTTCTCATCTCGAAGATGGCGCCACCAACAAGTTTAGCGGTGCCATTGATTGGCAAGTACCTTCTCTTCACCATCGTTCTCATCACCTCCTCCATTCTTCTCACCGTGGTTGTGCTCAACATTCACTTCCGCTCTGCAGAGACGCACTCAATGGGAAAGTGGATGAGGTGCATCTTTTTGGAGGTGCTACCACCTCTACTGGGTCTAAAACCACCAAAACAAGTAGGTTCATTATTGAGTGCCAACAGTACCAACAGTCTGTTAGTGGTTCCATTTTATCAAATCAGAGACTTAATTTTTATGTATTTTCTATGCCAAGATTGAGAGACATTGATAAACTCGAGGGCTTTAGACTCGCATTGTTGAGTATTTGGAAGACGGCAACGTTGATAAAGTTGCAGGAGTGACCGATGACTGATGCAACCATTCTACCTTTCCTTTGAATCAAAACAAATGCTTAGTTAGCAAAACGACGCAGGTTTTAAAGTAAAATTAATGCGTTTTTAGCTTTTAGGCACTCGGTGGAGGCATAAGACCTCTGAAAGCCATGGAAAGGAGATTTTGGTGTTGGACGATGTGTAATGGCATTTATTTATGGGTTTCCATATGTTAAATCTTTTGATAAAATAG